TAATTTTACGATCAATTTTATTTGCATTTTAGAAGTACAATTGTTGCATTAAAAATGTCACCTAACCTTAGGTTGATAATGAAACCACCGAAAAAGGGTAAACACTATACTACTCAAATGTTGGAGTTAGAAAAATTACACAAAGCTTTGGACTCAACTCGAGAACCAGATACTTTAGTTGTACCTGCTGATGATGACACTACAGATTCATAAATTAACGCACTGTGCGCGTCGCATACTCGCATATAATATCTATGTATATATATTTAGTATTAATAATATATACAATCTTGTACGTTGAATATTCTAAATAGTATGATTGTTATAAAACGTCGCTTTTCAGTTTTCAAAGTATTATGCGACGTACTGCCGTTTAAAAATATATTCAAAAATACTCGTACCTATACAAATAAATAGTTCTACGTAATCTGAAGCTTTAAATTACATTGTGTACATTTTTATGGCTAAATATCAACGGTTTTTTTTTTCAATAAATTATTTTATTATTTTAATTATTATTAATAGTATATTAATACTATAGTAATGTAGATAGTAACTAGTAGTAGTATATAAATATAATATACGTATGGTATACTCGTGTGAACTATATACTAAATTTCAATATTGAACAGCACCAAAGATTAAACAGATTGTTTCTTCTTTCCATCCATGGGTGCATATTATACCTAATATTAACGATCAGCGGAACTTTACATTGCTATAAGAATAATGAAAAATGTTATTATTTATTAATAACATCATCTCAACATGTGTCACCGATGGGACTCGTATAAATATAAGTAGTAAATCTCACAGCTATAATTTTTCAAAAGTTATAATTGCAGTTATTTTTATTACAGACTGTCTATTCACCCGATGATTAATAATTGATAAAAAAATGACTAATTCCCGTCTTGGACTTTGTCACAGGGCGCAGCCATATCGCAACGAGTACCTACGTAGAGTCATTCACATTCTTAAAGTTTACCTATTTATGTATCAGTGTAGGAATGTAGGGTATTGTGTATACTATTATATTAGTTAGGTATTTTGTGTTTAAGTGGATGTCAGCGCAATATTTGTTTTCTCACTCAGATCCTCGTGCCACATATAGATAAAACGCTTTCATCTAAATCTGTTTTATGATTTATGAGTAATGTTAGAGTAAAATCAACTATTACAAAAATTATAGAGGATAATATTTTCGAGGGTATGACATATCGGTTTTATCTTTTATTATTATTTAACTTTGAATTGGACTTTTCAAAATACAATACATTTTTTGTTAATTTAAATTACGTTTAAATTGTTTTGATACAATATTTAAACTAATCAGTATGTCATACTCTCAAAAATATTATGCTCTATCGTTGTTGTAATGGGTGATTTTACTCTAAGGTTACTCAAAAATATTATAAAAATGGTTCTACGGAAATGCTTTTTGTCTATGCTGTGCGTGGGCCAGAGAATGAAAACAAACATGGCGCTGACATCAACTTAATAAAGTAATTTTGTTATATTTTAGTATAGAGTATAACAAGTGTTCTGTTTATTTAAAAATTACCTATCTTTCTCACAAACGTCTAAAGGTCATTATATGAACGTGATATACTGATATGTCGTTGAAACAATTTTATATATTTATACGAACGGAATTTCCTGTATAGTAATCAGTAATCACTAGGTAATCAGTAAGAGTATTGACACTTGCCTTGCCTGGTGTTCAATAATTCAATATTTAGATTTCGGTTTAATATAGCTTTTGATTGGGAATATAATTCAGAGTAAAATCTACTATAGGTTTATAAATTATAAGTAATAGTAATAGTATACTTTGATTTTTCGTTATTATTTGTATCACAGAATAGATTTAATCACAGATTATTTATTTAATAGAAGTATGGTATGTACCTACCTTATACATATACTCGAATATATATTATATATAGTATGATCATTGATCTATAACAATTTGCACAGTTTTATTAATTAATATTATATTATATCACTAATCACAGACTCATCAATATTACCGGGTGATCCATTAAACGTAATTCACTCATTATTTCAAAAACTATTTAAGTAAAATATATATAACTATTCTTTTTGCATAATTTTAAAACGAATAATGAATGAGTAATTTATGGATTATATCTAATAAGTATTTTAAGTTTTGACGAGGGGTGTGGAATGCTACCTCTCAAAATATAGGTCCACTTACTACTCCACTCATCTATAAACTTTAAATACTAATAAAGTTATAAGTTATAAACTTATAACTAATAAACTACTTATTCGCAATTTGATTTTTATAGACCGAAATACTCCGAAATACCAAAAATTATTTTTCTTCAGAAATTTAAATATTGAAATTTAAAATGTATGCTTTCATTCAAAAGTGTAGAAACTTCAAAAATGATAATGATAAAAAAAAAATAGAAAAAATAGAACTTTTTCCAAAAATGTTCATAAGTTTTGTGTATTACATACATTATAATAATTTATATATATTTATATATTTTTTCAACTTACAACAAAGTCAACAACAATAAACGTCTGATAAATTAATAGTTAATAGTTTAATACCCATGACCGTACATTATACTGGATATATACGGTACCTATCTAGCACACTATACAGCTACACTTACCTATACCTATATATTAGAGTTAATTGGACGTAATTAATGATTTTTTCAACTTTACCTTCTTAATCTGAGAAATTTTATGAATCTCTAAAATAATCTAAAATGTAATTCATTTAACAGTTATAGTTATAAGGTAGGTAGGTATATAGCATTAGTTTAATAATATTACCTACATTTTATTTTATTGGTTGCACTATCGGACTATATGGCTTCGTGAATGTAAGACTATTCAATGTCATCAGAATACACTGAGTTGTTTATTTATACAGGAATTTGACTGAGATATTAGTACCACAAACAGCGATGTTCTTCTGTCTATAAGTATAATTTATTTCATTCATACATCATATTGATTTTTTTCAATATTTTGTATTTGAGGACTGTTTAACTGGCGTTTTATATGGAATACAAATAAGAGCCTGTTACTATCGTTACGACACGTGTTCACCATGTAATCATTTCAAATATATACATATAAATACACCATAATATATAAAATAGTAAATACCTTTCTATAGGCGTAAAATAGTTACCTTATAACATCCTAATAAATGCAATATATACATATAACATATAATACAAATACAATAACTGGGAAGATAAATATTCGAAGATAATATTTTTGTTTTGTTCAATAATAGACAAGTAAGAAAACTTATAAAAATATTTTACTAACAATCTTAGTAGCTTATATATCTGTTACAGTTTATTTTTAGTAATTCAATTTAAACATTTTTAATTGCCTTGATAATTTGGATGTGTTGGATGAATAAGTTAGTAACAGAGCATTAATATAATATACATTTGATATATTATTGTGATGTCCCAATCGTAAATTTGCCTAAATCATGAATTCTGTATTTAATTAAATTGAAATAACTATATAATTGTTAATATATTTGTTTAATTATAAAATTATACTTAAATGAAAGTACCTACTTTAAATTCAAGAATCCATATCATCGAATTAAAAATAATTAAAATACTTATGATCAAAATTAAAGATGTATTGTGTATAGCTATAATCTATACGACTATACGTACGATAATACCGTATGCAAAAACAATTTAACGTTATATCATAGTTTAATACTATTGACTATTTAGGATGGATTCAAATTCACAATTATATAAAATAATGCTTTTCATGTTCTAAATAGTTACCAGTGGGTCCTTATATGACAATTTTGAATTTTTGATTTTTTGAAGTTATTTTCTTATTATTTCTCCTATTGCATATGTGTAAATGTGTAATATTTATGTGTTATATAGCTTATATAAGTTATAAGTAATACGTCTCCAAAATATAAAACTATATCAACACGCCACTCTGATCTTAAATTCATAATTCATCATAGCTAATAAGGTACAGTAAGTTTATCACCAAGACTTAAATATTTAAAAATAATAATTTATATATTATACTACCTCCTGTAAGGCTATATAATATATACCAAAAGAAACTCTGTGTACTGCAGTATATGTAGTATATATTATAAGCAGATGGCAGAGACGATCTAAAAAAATATTAGGGGAGGGGAGTGAAGTCTCTACAATTACTGACTAGATTTTGAAATTTCGAATAAATTTACCGAATGAGTCTAATATTGACAAAAACCAGGCACCAACAACAATTGGCATTGGCGTTTATAATCATTAACTCGAAGAAAATATGAAAATTTTTCAAAACCTATCCATGAATAATAATGTGAATTAAATATCAAATAACTTAACCTTAATGTAGTGTGTATAGGAAGTAATATAATATAGTATATACTGTAAAACTATGCTTTTTCCTTAATTTCTAAGCGACATTATTGATACGTGATATTATATTAGATTGTTTTTTCTTAGGCACTCGTCGAAAATCGATTGATTTGGAAAAAACAAAATTAAAAAATTGTTCCCAATAAAATTTATAAATTATCGGGTAATCGGGGCTATTTCAGGTTCATCACTAATCGGTAACTGGTTTAGAAGTAAAAAAAGCTGAATGCAAAAGCTTGGACATGAGTATAATTATTAAGCGGTACCGGCGTCCGGCACTACTGGGTGCTATGACGGGACATGGGCAATGACACTATGGCAGACGTCAAACTTGAGTACGGAAGTACAGTAAAGGGTAAACACCCTAATGTCGCACAATAATAATTAATAACGAACTTCAGTTTCGCCGGCCGACCGACCGCCCGCATAACTACCGTATTTCGGTACCATCATTGTACGGTAACTGCACAACGGACGCGTGGTCACACTGCGTCTCCCAGTACGTGTATAGAAAATTAGAAAAGAGAAGGAATTTTATTGCACAAGAGGGTGTACAACTTACTGCCGCCGCCGCCCGGCCGCCATCAGCACTCGCCACTCAGCACCACTGCCGCCGGACGAATCATCGACGCCGCCGCCACGATCCGCGCTCCGTGTTCTTTCGGCAACGCTGTCGGCGCCAATACGCACATAGCGTCCACGGTCCACTCGGCACTCACCGTTGTAACGCGGACTCAGTCGGTCGTTGATTCTACCGTCACTCTCTTACATACGAAACCCCGCACGTACGCCGGTTGTAATTATACGCGTTTTATATACATTTTTTTCTGACAGTAAAACCTTAAGGACCAATTTTTTTTCGTATACATTTTTGAAATTTTAAAATCTACATCGAACAATATGGCCGAAGAAAATGCACCAGTGGCGGCGGCAGCAGCAGCCGTAGGCGACCAGCTGCAGGAGAAACCGGCGTCCGAGACCACCGTTGAACAGACGAAAGCTGAGGGCAATGGCAAAGCTGCAGTGGCTGCAGTCGAGGAACCACCCAAGGCCGAGATGAGAGCCGTCGTACTCACTGGGTTCGGCGGTCTCAAGTCCGTCAAGATCCTGAAGAAGCCCGAACCGACTATGGGCGAGGGTGAAGTCGTGATCAGGGTAAAGGCGTGGTGAGTAATCTTTTTTCAAAACATTATCGTTTTACGTGTATTTTGTTTCCCCTGTTTATACAATAATTGTGCTACCAATCCGTCGTCGAAGATGCCGACTCTAACATATGGTGGTTGCGTATTGCGTTAAACCTCTCCCTCTCGTGTTTGCAAGTAAAAATAGATCTCCGTGTGGAACACTATATTAATTATTATTATTCATTAAGCATTTCATCGTAATTGTTGCGGATTGGTCGTCGAAAGGAAGATAAGAACAGAACAGAGGCTGTCGGGTGGGAAATGGTGTAGTGGTGCTGCCACCGCCTGGGGCGTTTTTCTTTCCCGGTTTTTTGCTCCGAATTCACTATTTAGCCGCCACCTCGTAAATGTGTCGTATAGGTATTGCTGTAACCATACGTAAAGACATGTATGAGAAACGATGTAAACCTGTTGTCGTAGTCTCACGATTTCTCTCTCATCGATCGCCACCGATCCCGCATTCGTTGTTGGGCGGGTAGAGATAATACCTCGTCAGTTCGCACCTACCGGCTACCTGTTCGTCGTAATCTCTCCCTGAGCCCTAAGCTCACGAACGAGGACAAACGATAATAATAAATAATAATGTTCTGCGTCGGTTTTCGCACGAGTGTTACGCAGCGATGGAGACGACAACAACAATTCGTCTTTTCAGCCATAAATCGTTACTCGCGGCCGCTGTGGCAACGGGACCCCTCCCGATCGACGTACACATGGTAGCAGCTGCTGTCCCGCCGTTCCCACCTGTTTATTTGTGTCCAAATCTCCTTTTATACATTGTCGTTATAATAATTTTTAATATTCTTTTTTTCTATTCGTCCGACGTTCGTGTGTACACAAACACCGAACGGGGATTAAATGGACGTCTCGGGCGAGTTTTTTCTCCCCTTTTCGCCGCGATCGTTCTCCGTAGTAACCGGACCCGTAGTAGACTATTCGTTCGACGGGTGGAAACCACTGGGATTTGGTATTCCGTTGTTTGGTGGTTGCCGCGCCGACAACGTGTTGCGTTTTCACCAGAGTTCGCGCACAACAATAGTCATCTGACGGGCGGGGTGCTCGCGAGAAAACGAAAAGAAACATATGGATGATCAAATATCGTTAAATCATTTTCCATTTCCAGAACGGTTTTATTTTTTATTCTACTACTGAAACCTATTATTGATAACCATAACCATCACGGCATTCGAAAATCTGTCATCATTGAACGTTCGATTTGTACGCTTAAACGTAATAACAGCTCTTCAAACAGTAAAAAAAAGATATGTATATACCGTGTATTCGATGATGACAGATTAATGTCGAAAACATAAAAAAAAATAATCGGTTGTTTGTGTTACCCGACCGGCGCGGAAATGAAAAATAACGGAATTTTCAGAACTGTTGCCTGTTGTGGCAGCGGTTCTACGAAAAAAATTTGAGTGATTATTATCACCGGGCGCCGACACTTTTGTAGGACGACAAAATGATGACCGAGTCATTTGAATATTATCTATGTTTGTAGCCCGACCGAGTTTTTAACGGTCGGATTTTGTTCAATTACCAGAACGAACAGAATAAAATAATAATAGCTTAGTGAAAAGGGAATTGGATAACCTTGGCCTGAGACGCGCGCGCCGCCGTCTGGACTATCGAAAGACAAAAAAAAACTACAACTCAACAATGTGTATATAATATAGTATATACAGTTTGTAATAACTTGCGCGTGTGTGCTCGCTCGTTTCATGCGAAGGCGGGTTTTACTACTTGTTCGTTTGCCCAAAAACCCGTTGAATGTGGCTGACCTAACACTCGCGAAAATGTAACGTCCTCCTTCCGCGAGTCCGTCGTTTAACAGCAGACACAAACTCCCGACCCAGCTAGCGAACGGATTCGACAATCCGTTCATGATTTGGTGATACAAAATATTGTGATGTTCAACCTCGTTATCGTCTTGATGGTTTTTTATTGATATTTTTCTTATTTTTACGTAATGGAAATCTTTCGGGTGTCGATTGTTCTTATTATTATACTTGAATCCCCCCTCTCCTACCGTCTTCACTGTCATAGAATTTGAGAGCGGCATCCTTTTTTTTCTAAAACGTTGTGTATGTATACGAGTATACGTACAGTTAGTATCTGTTTTTGCCTGGTAGGCGAAAACTCGGGTGGCGATCGTTATTCGTTAATAGTAATCGCCGTTTTTATCAACGAATATTGTATCCCCTTCGCGGAACATGTGCTACTTAACAATACTCCTAGATGTAGTCCTATCGTAATTCTATAATGATACCGGGCAATAAATAAAATAAAACGATCACAATATATGCGGAGCGTTCACGTGTTTTACAAATAATAGAATGTCGATAAACAAAAATCGTTGATAAATAATATATTTATAAAAAAAGCCGCCGGAGAAACGTAAATTTGTATGTTTAATGTGACGTTTGTAAGTTTGTAACGGTCGCCAGGGTAAGACTGAAAAATGAATTATTCGTCGGGCGGTTACGCAGTAAAATACTAAAATTAGACACATAAAACACTTGTATTTCCGCCATCAAGGGGATAAATCTTCTTGACCGAACGTCGTTAAAAATTCTTGCAGTAGGTATCTAATACCTATACAAACAAAATCCGGTTTCTTTTGAAGCTTAACAATTGAGATGTGCTCGTATCAAGATTTGTAACTGAATAATATGACCATGACGCTCATATTTTGCGAACGGACAAGTTGGGCGTGGGTTGCATTATCATAACATATATATATATAATATATATATATATGTAACGTATGGGGATCGGCTCGCGGTGGTGCCGCTGCAGGGATGTTTTGACCAAACCTGGCAACGCCGCGTCAGTCACCGCCGAGGCTCGAACACATGTTGCGATCTTTTCGGCGACGGCGACGGCGACGGGTTCAACGGTTGCGCTGTCTTTCGTCCACTAGGCACTCGCCTTGGCTTGCACACACGCGCTACGCGCTCGTTATCACAAAATCGCGAAGGGATCAACAAGTCCAGTGAAATATAGTACTTTATAAAAGCAGACAGCATTAGTGCGCAACAGTGGCTTACAAGTCGCCACCCTTTCGACGCGTATCCTCCCATCTACCTCTCCTCCCGCATTATGATTTAACTCTGTGGCTTGTCGATTAGCCTTATGCCGCCCTTTCTTTCGCTCCGTGCATCTTTCCATCGAAAAAAAGAAAAACTCTCGTAATAAGAGGACTTCAGCGCAATATTTGTTTTTTCGCTCAGACCCACGCGTAAAATCATTTTTTATAATTTTTGAGTAATATCACTTACAACAAAAACAATAGAGAATACCTACTATTTTTTAAGGGTTTACATATGGGTTTTAAAAAGTTTGTTTTTATAATTATATTATGATTTGACTTTATAAAAAAAGAAATGTTGTATATTTAAATGGATATTAAATTGTTTTGAGACAATATTTAGACATATCTACCTACCTCAAAAATATTCTTCTCTATAATTTCTAGGATAGGTCATTTTACTCTCAAGATACCTAAAAAAATCATTAAAAAAAATGATTTAGATTCCTATAAGTTACGCGTGTGCCAGAGATAGTCAACTTGTGCCGACTTCCTATTAACTTTTTTGTTTCGTATCATACATAGTATGCTCAAAACTTGTTATCGTGATGCTAATTGTCCGTTTTGCCACGAAGAGATGCATTGAGGAAATTATATTTTTGTAGCAAGTTTCGGTGTGGATGGGTATGTGCGTGCGCTTGTGATCGATCGGTCGATGCGAAAAACGGTCCCACCCCGGTTCGCGATGAGTCATTGTAGCCGATCCCATTATTTTATATTACTTACGGAATTCAAAGACTAACGTGTAAACTGATTAATTTTAATATCTATACTTATAATATATTTGTTATCGAACACTTAGCGAACGATTTATTAGTATTTATTCCTACATCAGGGGAAATATTGTACCGTCAATAAAAAACACGCTTGCATTCCATATCATTATAAAAACATAATAAATAGATTAAAATAGTTGACTTTTTGTCTGAAAACTAAATTGCCGAATGTTCTGTCAAAAATATTTATTTAGCAGTCAGTATTTTATACGACCATTTTTACTTATTTTATTATTTTATAATATTTTGTGAACTAAACTATTAGTAAATAGGTTATCCTATCGGTAATAAATAAACTAATTTCGTAACTTATTCAAATTTTTCAACAGTTTAACCATATTTTAGTGAAATGATTGTTTTTTGTTTGTGAAAGTGTGAAAACTATCTACAGCATTTATAGAACCATAGTAGATTATATCGTATCAAACAGACTTGTCATATTTTTGCCTATTGCCTAGAGCGCATTGTTTATATATAGTCTAAACCAAACCACCCGAGAATAAAACTATTTTCGATCTCATAATTGAAAGTAGGGGTTGAAAACACGAAATGTATAACAAAGGATTTATGGTATAAAAACTGGATTGAACGGTACACAATGCACATCATATTATAACGGAAGGAAGTGATAACATTCCTTGCCGCAGGGGTGTGTTATTAGAAATCGTGTAGGAATTTCTCGTTCAAGTGAAATACTTGACATATTTTTCATTCATCTAATAAAATACTTTATAATGTGTTGATATTTATTTAATTTGTAGTTATACCTACTAATGACATTTTTATACTATGGTGCATTGAATTAAATATGCTTTTAAATAAATCATTTTAAATCGACATTAGTCACTAATATTTCATTAATTTATTTAAATAAATACCTATACCAATAAGCGTTTTTTTACTGTAAATTTGAAAACAAATAGTTCTCTTGAAACTGATCAACTTAAAATTACAAAAGACTAAAGAACTTTCTGTTGTAGAGGATGCTATATAGATTCCTGGTGTATTTCGTCATTGAGTAAGTCTCAGTAATGGATGTGTTGAATTTGGATTCAATGATAAATCATTGTATACGAAGAACGATTCTGAACTAAAAAGACCGGCATATAGTTCTAATAGTTCTAAAAGCCTTTATGTATTTAAAATTATAATATATCATATTATATTTATGTTTCTACAATATCGCACATGAATTTTTTTAATTCATGAGATTAAACAAATTCCTGCCAAAAGTCAATATTGGCATATCGTTGATTCGTGTGAATAAAGTGAATCTCTTAAATTGATTGTATGCAAATATACTTTTCTAATCAAATATTATATTTTAATTTTTGTCTATTTATTATCAGTAGTTTCACATTTTTAATATATATCGATTTGTAATTTTAAATATTATAAGAAAAAAAATAACTTACTAATCAATGTTATATCTCAGAATATGAAACTGTTATGTTACCAATTGTATACTCAAATGTTTAAATTAAACATGACAAAAACAATATGACGAAAGACTCGTGGTTTTAACGATGGGTGCGATAAGTGATAACTATTATACCTAAATAATAATAGTAACTTTGACTTTTGACCGAGATAAATTATATTTAATACGGATTAAATATTTGGAAGTGCTTGTGAACTCAACAACTAATGTGTCATCGTATTTTCGATAACAGTTTAACAATATTTTATATTATAGTGTTAATAATGTTAATTGTTGGCTACGTGAGTCGTGACGCTGGCACCCGCATGTTTGAACTTTAGCTCTAGTAATTGTTAGATAATTTTTACAAATTTGTAACCCCCATTTAAAAATTTTATACACCCCCACATCGCTTGTAAAATCCATATTTACGTTACGGGTACCGGTGTTACGTTCGCCAGCACTACATTTTATATTTGACATATTGGTCAATAAATTCAAAAACCACACCAGGAACATTGTTATAAAATGTGTACGCCCCTCTCCTCATTACTCGTATAATTAATTTTTACGTTGGTTGTACAAAAAATATTTTTGGCAATGTCTTTTATATAATTTTCTTTCCGATATTATCAAAATAGTACACTATTAGTAATTAGTATATATAATTTCTGTTAGGTATCTAGAATAGGCTGTAGAATGTAGATAGTGTACAATGTCGTATCAGATAATATTATTTGACGCATTTAGCTGATAACAATTCTAAATATAATGTAATACTCAATAATATTCTTCATACTTATTCATAAAATATTCAATGTAGACTATTTTCTATGCTATTGTTATTATCAAACACTGAACTTTATATGCATATTGCAATTGCATTTTAATATTACTACATGTCTACATATCTACGGAATAGCGTGTCCATGCATTATATGCATATATACTGTCATTGCCATGGAATTTTCTTTTCAAAAAATTCAAATCGGAGACATCGATCCTTGTTGTTTTTATAATTAACGCTTTATCTTATATATAGTTATATCATAGAAAATAATTAGGTTTATGACCCCAGTATGAATTTCAAAAGCTATTTTTTTATTTACTGTAGTTACCTACAATAAACCATATAATAATGATTTAGGTTGATGATGCCTGGATTACCAACAGATGATTTATATTGTGTCATGTCGCCACGTGTATAAACACAATGAACATTTTTTCACTATATAATGTAGTACCTATATCAGTAGAAGCTAATAAACAATATTGTTAACGTAGAAAAAAATAAATAAAATGAGGTCGGATTCTTTAAACAACAATCAACACCATTGCGGGTAAAATCAAAATAAAGCAGTATAAGCACCGATATTGGGATGTATAGCGTCGAATCAAAGCAAACTACACAGTAAAAACTAAAAGTAATTAATATAAAAGTAGCTTCCATGTTTCCAAACCGGCAATGAATATTCACCGATGCGGTTTGACCTTATCTTTTTACTTGAGTGTCCAAATTATGATAAAAGTCTTTATTTTTATTTTTTTTCGTCGAGTGAATCGGTAAATCGTGCGTCAAGTAGTGATATAAAATATAAAACTATGGGTGTCGGGAGAAGGGTTGGAAAAGAAAAGTTTGTTCCGGTACGATTGTCAGCAAGGAGAAATCTGCATTCGTCGTACGCTGGCACAGTGGCACGATTTAGTAGGTAATTATATATATATACTTTTTTTCATTATATTCAAAAAAAAGTGGGAATATGTCGCACGGTTGACTGATTGTTGCAGTTTTCCAATCGTGCCTAGTAGGCACTTGACGTACCTCTAGAATAGTATGTTATTAATTTTGTATCGAATTTTCTCGGATTGATGGGGTGGTTGTGCAGTATCAACTGGTAATCGAGAAACGCCATTATTCCACTACCCGCATCAAAAAGTGGAAGTAACGTTCCCGCCGCTCGAGTAGATATATATAGGGCCATATAGGCAATACATTATGAAAACGACCTCGTCACAGCCCAAGTTTTTAGTTAATCTCTTTCCAGTGTTTTCTGACGTATAGCAGTGCACGGGGACGCAAAATAAAAACCGTTATCAAAATGATTACGGTCACACGCCTAACACAATATGAAATGTCACGGTGCTCCGGCATATAATAATAAGTGGCACTGACTCTTTGAGGAAACTCACTAAATTACTTCTAGCGACGCAGTGGTTGTTATAACTTATTACGCGTGGGTAGTCGTTAAACTATATTAATAATCCAAAGGGATAAAAATTAAGACCGGTGTCGCGATTTTTTTATTTTTTCGTTTCGACAACGGACTTCGTTTTAACGAACGCTCGTCGCCGCCGCGACCGCCAGCACGTATTCATATTGCTAGACTTAATTTATTTTATTATTATTATAAATTCTACGGGTTATGTTATTAGTTATTACTATTATACATCACATACGTGCGTTATTTATAACGTAGGTACCTAATAATAATAAAAACGTATCGCCGTGCGTAGTAGTAGTAGTAATAGTAGTAGTATTATTATTATATAAATATTACAAAAACTACGTGGTCGTTACAAATAATACACCTATATAATATATAATATAATGGGTGACGTGCAGTGTCGCGGCGCGGCGGCCCGGCGGCTGGCGGCAACCGCGTTACGTGACTGCACAACACGTCTAGACACGTCGGCGTCACTGACAAATACGGTTTTTTTCCCCCTTTTCCTACCCTCATATATATACCAACCACCGCTCCCGTCACACGAACGCGCCTGGATACACCCCGCGAATTCTACAAAGTACAAACCACGATGACGACTATACCACCTATACCGACCGACCACACCAAACATAATATATTATACTCATATAACCATTCCTACTATGCAGTACTCGCGACTGCCGCCACTCCGCCGTCGCTCCAGGGGTTATTCCACCCGACTCAGATGTATATAATATCACTTGTACTGTTTAACTACCACCGGTCACGCGACGGATGCCGTCATCGTCGTCGCCACTGCAGCCCTCGCCGCCGCCACTGCAGCCTTCGTCGCCTCCGCCGCTGCCGACGCCGTCGCGCTCCGTTTACATTGCGATATAATTATTGTGCTAGATCGTGTCTCGTAATAAAATAAAAATCGGGCCAACTGGGGCGCGCAACGGCCAATAATAGTAACGTTTTCGGTGTGCGCCATATAACCGCCCCCTCGATTTGGCGCACCTACTCGGCGACGGGCTGAAAATGCTTTTGAAACCCGATTATATACTATCGTTCTGAATCACCTCGTTTCCCGTGTCTCATATACTATTATAGCGGTCTATATATATACAACAATATACGTATAGGTAATAGGTATTATATTTATATACGTTTATGTGGCGCCGCCCGTCCACCGGTGTTGGCGACACGATAAGTGGATTACGTTTTTCGATTGTACAAATTGAAAAAAAATACACAAAATCCATTTTCGTGTACAACGACGACGAGATTGTTACGCAGAAATGAAAGTGTATCGTGTGTCGTATCAACAGTTTTATGTTGAAGAAGACACCTGTTTATCCATTGTTATCGATATTGAATCTAAACATATAATATAGGTAGGTAGTTTGTGTAGGTACTTACACTTTACACACCTAACTATAGAAACTACCCCCCACGATTTGTACTTCTACCTTTTTATCGTGGTAATCTTGTATTTTTGAAACGAGATGGATATTGATATATTAACCATACAACTTATCGTAAATATATAGTATAAAATATGTACGTATGTATACATTTTCACTTTTTGATATCGACTAATCGGTTAATCATGAAAACATAACTTACCGTAAAAACCATTTCAGGGTGGGTTCATGTTTTATGTACAACAATTTAAAAAAATATATATTTTGTTGAACTATAATTATGTATTACTCGTACAATACTAAAATATCACCATTTTATCGCAGTCAATAAATGGCCGTACTACATGGTCTGATGACGACAAGGCGCGTGCGCGGGCAATATTATTATATTGAAAATAAAACCGCTGTAACGAAATTTCTTATTTACACATTTTCACTAACTATACCCATGATTTTTTTTTCTAGTGGTTTGAATTTCCAAGATTTAATGGCCCGACAAGGTGTGATCGAGTCTCTGCCTAAAGCTCCGTTCATATTGGGTTTTGAATGCTCCGGTGTCATCGAGCAAGTCGCAGAAGGTGTTGAGAAGTTCAAGGTAAGAAATATCTGCTATATATATATCATTATGCAGAAAACGACTTCTACATATTATTAGAATAAATTACAGTGATATGAATTCGTGACCAACAACCGTGTATGTGATATATGACATCTTATATAGGATGTTATTATTATTATTGTGTTCGTCGGTAGTATCGAGTTTTGAAACGTAGGCGTATCAATTTTCCAGTCGCTCTTGATTTTTACTTCATGTATTATAATATTATATACGCGATTCCCCGGTGTCAAATTCTTTTAATAGACAAATGAATAACGAAACGAAAATAATATTCGCGTATCGTTGCCCACGCGAGTGTTTGACGGAGATTAATAATGATATATCTTATGTACATATACGAGTCACTTGATACACGAGAAAAACGCATGTGTGCGTTTAACAGCTTGGCTTAATTTAAACTATTCCGTCCGTCGAAGCGTCGGTTCGCATCCGGCGCTCGCGTGTACATTTCGAACGCGATCTCTCGTATAGTGGTGTGTATATTATTATGTATACATGATGCACATACAGCAGCCTCGCCTGGGGTTAAAGACACGATTAAGAGTTAAATATGTGCTGGAATTTAGAAATGTATACTATTTACGATCGACAGGGATAAATTTCAATTGCCTTCCCAATTCTCATCACACTCATCACAGCCTCTATCATCGCGGTACAGTAAAACGCGTTTCTCGACATTAGTATCTTATATCTTGTGTATACACAGCCGTTGAAAGGGACAAGTTTCTATTTATTCGTGCGAACCACGTGCGGCTCAAATAAGTGTAGAGGTGAAGAAGGTGTGGCAGCCGTGGCGTCCTTACTCCTTATACTTACAATAGAATCGTCTGTAGTAGATTTTAGTATAATACAAATACAATGTTATCATCTAGACCGGAATGGCGACGGGGCGACGGTTATTTTCTTAAGTGACGGGACGTATTATTACTCTGTTCAATGTCATAGGAGGGTCCGGCGTGTACATAATATAAATATATAATACTGCAGCGGTGAGTATGCTATATAATATACAGACGATAATAATAATAATAATAATAATAATTAAACTATAACCCGCATAGAGAAGCTATACGGATTACTAACCTCGTGGTATGCAAACGTCGTCGCCGTGGTCAATATGATTAAGTAAAAAAAATTTTTAATAGACCGTTTCTTTTTTATAAGTGTGTCGGGACTCGGGGGAGAGAAGTGAAGACGCGGCGTTTGCTGCCGTCACTTATTTGTGTATTATAGTGTCATGGAGACGTGGACAGTCGGTGGGTGCTCTCACACGTGCGGGCCGCAGACCAAAGAATGTGCTGTGATGTCGTGTGAAACGTGAATAATGACGATAATTGATCCTCATTGAGTCTAATTATTTAATAATCGAATACTGCAATATACACATACCATACACCTATTCAATGGCCGGCATCTTTGGTGATCATTATTCATCGTAGTGCTCGTGGGGGAGGGGGGTGGATAAACGGCTAATTCGATCATATTTTTTTACGTCCTCTTGTGTGTATACACCTCCTCATAGTTGTCATCGCCATTCACCGCTAATGTTTTGTTTCCGAAGTTTTTGAAAACTTTATTCGTAGAATTTCCTTGTACCACACTCCAACCACTAATAATGTCAGCGTTACGATGATCGTACAGTCAATTTTAATTATGCTCTCAATAAGATTTATTTTTTCGACCAAAAAAGGACAGATAACGTTTCATCGCAGCTGTGTGATGGACGTAAACGATCGCAGTCTCAGTATAACCACTAAATACGTCAACACGTGTATTATTTTTTTCGTCCCTTATGATATAGTGACAACACAAATGCGTTACACCAGATGCAGATCGTTAACAAGCGGGGCGACGAGGACTGAGGAGAGATATATGTGCAATGTGCATGTCGGGATTTTTTTCTATAGAGATACTACCGAAAACATAACTTGCAATTTCTCAACAACCCAAAAATTTGTTTATTTTCCGATTAAATAAATATTATGTTGAATGCAATGACATTATAACTGTCGAATAAAAATATTGTATTCTATTGATATTTGTGAGTATCAGATATCAAGTTTTTTTTAAAAATATAATAATATATTCATCAGTATTGTGTTCACTTATATAGGGCATTTTTAAACAATTTTTTTATGAACTATCGAAGCAATACAACTAAGTCAATACAAAAATTATCAGATAAGCCACAAGAGCATTCTTTATACAATATTTTTTCAAATACAATAAATTGGTGTAATTTTTTTTTGTAAAAATAATTACACATCCCGACCTATTTGTAATAATCGTAACTATTATAATATTATTTGATTATTGATACACATATTATCAAATTATCCAATTAATGTCTCTGGCATTAATATGACCTATTGGTTATTTAATCAAATATTATTACTATGATCAATCTACTAATGTTTTCTATATTATTGACCAAGTATTATACCGAAGTGTCAAACTCGCGCGTGTATAATATCGAGTACTACACATTGATCCATATTAATGATACGTTTCCAAAATTAAAATGGCTTCGGAAATCGGGCGCGGGGATTAAATCTTCAGTCCCCTATCATTATTAAATATTATTGTTAGCCCCCAGTGCTCGTAAAAACTATAAATAGTAACTTCGTTCGTGATCGACAACCGGTTTGCTCGTTGGTTATTATAAAAAACTAAAAAGCAGACGTCGTTCTCCCACGTGCAAATTGATTACCATAATAATAATAACAATAACGACGATGATATTATTATTATTACATATTGCATGGTATAGAGGTATAGATTATATAGGTATACGAAATAGTAGACGTACATACATAATACGACTATAAATCATAGAACGCGTAAAGTCGTTCGGAATATTTTGGAGACGACTTAAGTAAATTATCCATCACCCATAATAATATATTATATAATATATAAACACATAGATATTATAATCAGGTTTGTTGTAATTTTTCTAGTATGGAATAAGAAACTAATAAATGTATCTATTCAAATATTGAAATATATTATATTGCCTATGCAATAATATTATGACATTATGTTGTAGTCGAACCAACGCAAATCGTTGTTTTTCAATTCGTATTAAAATTTTTATTTTTATTCTATAATATTGTAATAATCCTGCATATTTTGTCCGCAGGTCGGTGATCGCGTCGTAGCGTTGCCCGAGTGGCGCGCGTGGTCCGAACTCGTATCCGTGCCGGCCAAGAACGTGTTTGCCATACCGGATGGCCTGAACTACGTGGACGCCGCGGCCTTGGCCACCAACTACATCGTTGCCTACGTGTTGCTGTTCGAGCTGGGCGCCGTCAAGCCCGGCAGCAGCCTGATCCTGCACTCGGCCGGTGGCGGAGTGGTAAGTGTATATTTTAATTACATGTTATAGGTATTATACAGCATACATATTATATAATATGATGATGTGTAGAGTAGTAACTGTGCCCGAGTAACTAAGTAGTCAAAGTTAGAACGTAAACTGCAGCAGTTATATGTTTAAGTTACAATACGATATAAGTACTAACTTCAAGCCTTGCGACTAGCCCCAACTAAGTTTGGAAAAAAATTTACAAGTAGCACCAACATAAGAAACTTCTGACTTGACTAATTAATCAGTTATGGCCCTGCAGACTCGGATGCAATATCATATAATCGAAACTTGTACGGGTTGCTGTCTTTATTTATGAGAAAATGGGGTTTTCACTCCACATTATATATGAGTGTTATACCACTAAATATTGTTGTACACTTATATAGAGTTCCCTATAGTTTTGTCGTTTGCTTTGTTTCCTGGTTATTGGTTATGTACATTTTTTTTAAATGTTTTTCCCTCAAGTTGCTTAACAATACTGTATACACAAGCACTGTTATAATTTATATTTGATTTGGATCGGGGGTGTATCCAAGTAAGTAAATATAAATGTGGTGTTTTAGTGAGATCTCACATTACATTTTAAAGTAAAATATTGTTCTTCATATTCATATCAAATTGTAATTTCAGTGGGGGGTTGGAATTATTTGAGCGTGATAGTCCCCCGTTAGCTTCCTTTCACTATTGATTACCGCCAATTTTGGGGTCATTGGAAATCCAAAACTAAACCGTAGGCTAACACGTTATGAACTTGAAAATCCAAAACGCGCATACAACAAAAGTAGACACTGTACGGTAACGGTATAACCATCATCGTTCATCATTTTAGTCTATTATAAATTTATAATAAATATTAAATATTAATATATTATATGTGTATGAATATGATTATACTTTTATAATCATTAATTCTCATACTATACTTTAATAAAACTATAAAAGTATGCTGAGTCCTACTCTTTGGTCGAATACATTACGTGTACACAATAATTATTAATAATGTCGCAAATGCGAGTAATCGCCGTCGGAATGTCATGCAACTATACCAGATACAATACGATATTATAATTGCATAACTAAATTGAGTAATGAGTCAACTTTGTTATTTCCCCGCCTTAGAGAGATAAGAAACTAGTCTACTTGTGCCTGCGAAAAAAAAAATACCGCCCGTCTGGAAAACGCACGAGTGTTTACTCAGCGCAACGGCGGTATAATAAATGTCAATTGTTTTTCACCACGATCAATCGATTATGGACGCTCTCTCTTCCGCGATTTTCTCCTAGAGTCTTTAGCTGCTACACAATCATAGGAACATTTTAACGATTAGAAATCATATGACGTTTTAAATATTATTATCATTTATCCCAAACCCGGCAGATAACCTTTTAGTCAAAAGCCGTACAAAATAACCAAAGCAAAGAATTTGAACTCTCTATTAATATTATGTTTCTTTTAGGTTTGTCCGTCATATTTATTATTATAATTTAAAGTAATTATATTTCGTGCCCGTGTACGGTTCATAGTTCACTCAAACACGCATATTGATTTGTATCATTAAATATTTATAGTGATTTATATATATATATTATATACATTATACATTAATACATTTAGGCATTCATATAAAATAAATTTTATAAAATTAACTAATAACTATAATTTGAGACCCAATTAGTCAAGCTTGTAGAATCTGGAAGGCATTTGAAGTTAGTACTCTTGTAATTTTATGACTATAGAGTAATTTACCGTAATTGGTAAACAACTGGAAAAATATTTTCATCAGTTATTAGAAGAATTAAAATCAGCTCCTTACATCTGTACAGACGTACAGTTATAATATTTTAATAACTAAATACAAATATACTATAATTACATTATACCTAACATATTGTATTAAATTATAAAAACATAAAAATAACCTTTTTACGATATACATAAGAATTATATTGGTTATTACTGTTGATACAGTACTTGTTAGTTTTGAACATTTTATGTTTGTCAATGTTGAGTATCAAACGGATGTTATCACAATATTTGTATAGTCTTTCATACCCACGCGCAACATGAATAAATTAAATGCTTTTACATAATATCGGTTCCTTTGATTTTTAAGTAAAATCACTTATTTCAAAAACAATTGAGAATGATATTTTGACGTTTCACATATCTATTTTATATTTAATTATTATTTGACTTTGTATTCAATTTATAAATAAAAAAAAAAATTGTTACTATATATGATTTTTAAATTGTTTCGAGACAATATTTAGACAAATCGATGTGTTATTGATGGTATTTTTAATAATTTTTATATTCAGTGATTTTACTTTAAGATAATTCGAAAACGTAACAAAAAAAATGATTTTGCGTGAATTCGTTTTGCCTTTGTTGCAAGTGGACCGGAGAAGGAAAACAAACGAGGTGAAATAACAGTATTTTTTTAAAATTGAATTAAATAATAATGATAATTAAAATGCTTATTAGAAATCCCAACTATTAATGTTTTTGTGTACATAAGTAGCCAATGAGTACATGCAAGAGTACATAGAGTAATGTCAGATATTGATTAAACGATAACGAATATAAAATTGTTATAAAACCCGCAATATAAATATGCTTTTAATATCGTTATTCGTTAATTTACAATTTTTAATGCTCACAAAGCTATTATGATAACTTTATTCATTATTCTTATTAATTATTGATTGAACTTAATTATATTTTGTTAGCTGGGTATATAATCTTTTATTTTTAGTTCATATGATTATTTTAAATTTACCAACAAGTTTAATATTTTAATTGTTTGTCTTAATTGTACTGAACCGAAGGGTGAACTTATTCCCTAATGTATGGAGAGCTAAACTCGTGCATTGTAAGTAATTTCTGTTTTAATACAACATTTTACGGTCGTAGTCATAAAAATATCAATGTCAAATTAAATCAGTATTCATATACCTGTTTACTAGGTACCTTCTAAATTTCTAATATTTTAATGTTTCGTAATAAAAGGTATAACTTTACCTTATTGTTACATTTATACAAATATTTGTCATTTGTTGAGAACATGTATGCTAATGTTATCTTAAACCGAAAAAATATACAAGAAAAACGATATTTTTAAAATCATTTAAAAGCAATATTAAAAATAAAACTTATTCTAAAATTAACTTATTTTCAGGGTCAAGCTGTAGCCCAACTTTGCAAAACTGTAGATGTCACTGTATTTGGTGTAGCATCAAAAACTAAACATGAAGCTTTAAAAGGAACCATTGATCATCTTTTGGAACGTGGTAGTGATTATGCTGCTGAAGTTAGGAAGTAATTTACACAATTTGATAAGCACTGAATTTATATTAGGTACTAAAATTTGTAATTGATTCATTTAGGGTTTCTCCGGAAGGAGTGGATCTCTTTTTGGACTGCGTTTGTGGTGAAGAATGTAGCCGTGGATACTCTCTTTTGAAACCTATGGGCAAATATATTTTGTTTGGTAAGTATAAATTTTCTAGTTTTGTATTTTACTGTCTAACGAAATTAATTAAATGTTTGGTTAACATTCAATAATGTAAAAAAATCTTTTGTTTAGGTTCATCCAACATTGTCACGGGAGAAACGAAAAGTTTCTTTAGTGCTGCTAAATCTGTAAGTTTTGAATATCTAATTAATACTGAAATTAAATATAATTTCTTGGTTTAATTTTTTTAATTTTTTTTTTAAGTGGTGGCAAGTGGATAAAATTTCCCCATTGAAATTGTTTGATGACAGTAAAACTCTAATGGGATTCAATTTAAGGCGAGTGTTGTTCCACCAAAACCAATCTGAATATGTGGCAAACATTTTTGACAAAGTAATTGGATTATGGAAGGATGGAAAGGTTAAACCCGTTATTGATTCCACTTGGGCTTTTGAAGATGTTAGTATTTACCCATATCATAATATTAAGTATTTAAGAAAATAAAAAAAATACCTACATAGTTCAATAATAATCATTTATATTTATAATTAATTTTAGGTTGGTGAAGCTATGCAAAAAATGCATGATAGGAAAAATATTGGAAAAATTGTGTTGGACCCAAGCTTGGAACCAAAACCAAAGCCAGCTACACCCGTCAAAGGAAAATCAAAGAATGCTGATAAAGAAAAGGAAAAGAAAGAAGAAGATTCTTCTGCTAATGGCACTACAACTCCTGAAGCTTCAAGTCCTACAAGTATGTTTCTATAATTACTTATATGAATAACTAAAAACAGTTAAAACAAACTCTTATAAAGTTATAAAATGTATTAAATATATTATAAGTGATTTTAAACTTTTTTCCATTATAAATGTACTGATCTACTTCAAAAACAACAATACTAACTAGCCAGTTTCAGTCATAAATCTAGCTTTGTATTATGAAAATGTGTTTTATTTCATAAAATTAATAAAAATGTATAGTTCATTTAGGATATTAATTAAGTACTTACTACTTACTTATAACATTTAGTTATGAAATTATTACTGACAGTTGTTTTTAAAATACGTTAAAAGTAGATAAATATTTTAGTTAAAAAAAATTATGTTATTGATTATGAAGTAAATATTTAAAGAATATCTCATTAACTTTTGTTAATTTTTATTTTTTAAATTGTGACATATTCCCATTTTACTCTTATCACCATCATTTAAGTATTGTAATTAAATATATGGTTTGAATCGATATAAAAAAATTATACAATTAAAATTATAATATGCCTATTTGAGAGACTATTATTTATATCACACACATGTATGGAAGCAAATAAAACACATTTTTTAGTAGCATCCACTTAATAATTATTGAATGCATTCTGATAATTAATTCTATTTGTAATTTACAGCTAAAGAGAAGGAGAAGGAAAAGGAATCAAGTTGAATGCACTAGTGAAAACATCATTCTCAAAATTACTACCTACTTATTTAATAATAATAATAATAAAATAAACTTCTCATTAGCGCTTTTTTCCAGTCTTATATTACACTAAACAATGAAATATCAATTTTAGCCTTTTTAGCAATATTTTAAATATTTATTTCAATCATTTAAGTATTGACAAACTACCTTCATTTATACTTAGTCAAATAATATTATATAAAATACTATATTATGGTTTTGATTAATGATATAAATTGTTTTACCTAATCAACAATTTATTACACTAGGCTAATCTATTACTAGTAAACATGTACCAAATATTATGTATACTTATGTGTTGATTTTTATATAATTGTTTTGGTTCATTTTGCTCGTACATCTCTATGCATTTTCTACAATTATTATTATTATTATTATTTTTAGCTTAAATTTTAAGTTTTATATTATACTAAAACATGAAATGATTTATTTTTCCATTATTTTTTTATATACAATTTCTAAATAAAAACATGTGGGAGTTTAATAACAATATATTTTTAATTTATACACACATACTATACATGTATTATGATTTATGTAGATTGGTTGAATTCTGTTTAAAAAAAAAAAATTATAAATGTGGAATTGTGTATAATATATATTATTATCTATACACATACACATATATATTTATTAATTTATATGAGTATTATTATTACTATTATTATTATTATATATTATTTATTGTGCTGTTTAAAACTATTAAAAAATATATAAGTATAATATATTTATATATGTATATTCAATAACTACTATAAGTGATCATTAATCAAAAAATAAAAGAAAAAACAATTAAAGATGTCTACAATAATAATATAATAAGTTTAAGGATTTTTATGATAATAATATATTAGATGTGACTATGCAAGCTTGTGATCGAATACATACTACCTATTTTAAATTATACACAACTACACATCTGTACTATTCTGATGACAATTATTTAAGAATTTAAACTTAATAATATAAACTATGATTACGCATTGAATGTTTTTATTTGTTTGCAATGCTAAATGTGGAAGGGGGACAATGAGTCATATATTGTTAACAATTTCCAGAACTGGGAGCTGGTATAACCAAAAATCAGTATGTCAAAACTGTTCAACTGAAGAAATGTATTATTCTCAAAAATAGATTTTGAAAAAGAAAAAGGTTTTCTGTTGTGTTTTAGATTCTGGGCGGATCAAGGAATGTATTGATTTTACATGATTTTTTTTTTATCTGTTGTCATATTTTTGGAAAGTAAAAATGCTTAAATTTTCAACTTTGAGAGTGGTTTTTGGTAGTAAATTGGATGTAGTTGGTACTCAAGGGTCAAAATAAAAAAATTCTTGAAAAATTCCAAAATAAACAGTAAAAAAATTTTAAAAATTTAATTTTATTGGTCCACCAAAATATTTAACTTGGAGATTTGAAAGTTGAAACTTTTATGTACTTGTATAATTATATTTTATGTACACATAAAATATAGAATTATATTTTCAAAGCATTTAGATTAATTTTATGTGATTGCCTATATTTCATAGATTATACCCTTAGACTAATAATAAAATAAATTATTATGTATAACTATAAATAATTATATGATAATAGGTTCACAAACTGTGTATTTTTCGTATAAAATTATTTATCATTATTGAAATACAATTTAACATATTCATTACACTATTGCAGTGACATACTCTTTACAGAGGTACAACCATGACCCATCACATACAGTAGAACAACTTCTTTACTCCACTACTTCGAACTGTTGTGCAAACTTTTTTCTTGCACATACTTACATTTCGTTTCCTTGTTTGGGTATCAGGGAATTCCGTAAATCGGATTTTTCGCAGTTTATCACAATGTACCTAGTTGTATGAAACTTAATTCGTATTTAATAAACACATGTCAAATGTGAGATTTTCCTTAAATACCTATCTACTAAATAGAGATGGTTTATACTTTAAGTAGCCTATTTTATGCATTGTGATTTTTACGAAGAACAAAAGTATTGACTTGACTGTTTCGATAAACGTTGTGGAATAGGTACTATTCCCACAGGCCACAGTTAGGTCTAAGTGTCTTACAAACTATAGATACCTAACGTAAAAATGTAAAATATTTGAGCGTAACTCTTGATAATAAAGATGGGTACCTAGTACCTACCACATTATCACTTATCAGTGTATTCTTTCTCAAAAGTCTAAATGAGCCATTCTAATGTATTACATTTCAGTCTCAAGTCTCAACTCTCTAAAACATGGTGATTGGTGGAGATCACACTACTATAATAATATTCTATAACTTATAAGCGTCACTGCGTCAGCTTGCTGGAGAGTATAAAGTTCTTTATGCTGTCAACACTTAGGCTTCCGTTATTCGATGTAGGGTTTTCAATCCCTTTTTTCTTTCAACTCTCGAAGACTAAACAATCATGAGGCTACACATGCATCCATACAAAAAAAAATTATATTTAATCTTATTCAATCGAAAATTGCCGACATGTTACAAAATACAAATTTAAATTATTACGAAAACTTTATAGCTGTATTAGAGATGAATAATAAGAGTAACAATATAATAATAATAATGAACGGAGTATTATTATACGATATGTTATAAGTTATAACGATTATGGTTCGTGCAATATAATGTCCGGCGATGGCTGCATACGAATTGCGTCCCAAAATACAAAAATATATATGGCGATATTCGAGTTGCGTCCGCGATTTTCTCGCGACATATCCGAGTTGCGTCCTGGTTAATAATTTATTAATTGGTTAATAATCCACATAATAATATACATATTTTCCTTCCCACTTTTACAGACTGAGGACTGTCATTTATATAAATGGTGTGGTTAAAAATTGTAATAATATAAACTGTGTGGTGGTTAAAAATTGTAATTGCATATTATAAATTATTTATTGTTTTAAAATGTTTGGTTGATTTAAAAAATATGATATAGCTAAAAATTGTAATATAAATATTTATGTAGGTATCATATTTTATGCATCGGTAAATTTTTATTTGCCAATTTTTGAACAAAGTCAAGACGTGTTATATTTTTGTTTTCAAACTCAGTCATAGTTTTTTTAATAAATTCTTCTTTTTCCACATCCTCTCTTCGTTTATTACTTAAATTTGAACTTCGCATTTTAATATAAATATCTGTTTGGACATTTTTCAGTACCTACTTCAACAAATTGAAAAATATTGGGATACGACGAATAAAACATGCTATTTAATTTTGAGTGAAATGATTCACATGCGTTGGTGGTACGCATTAACGAGTTTGAAAACTCGGCCCATAATGACGGTTGAAATTTACGTTATATAAAGTTTTACACTCACTTAAAAATTTTAAATTTGTTGTCGTTGAAAATGCTACAATATTTTTTTCAGTGTTATTTATTAATAAAAATATTTCGTCTTTATTAGTTTTTATTTCGCCTAAATTGGTTAGTGCCAAATGCAACTCTTCTAAATCTGTAGGCAATTTTGGAATAATGCTCGACCGAGCATAATGAATATTTTTCCTTATACGGTTTATATCTGTGGTAGTTAATGTACTTACATCTCCTTTACGCAACTCCCGATGTAAAATTTTGCATGGCTTTTCACATGGGTCATCTAGAGCTTTACGCTTTAATTTATTACCAATTTGTTGACGATTTAAGACGTTTTCGTCGTCTTTATCATGTTCATGATTTAAAGCACTAAAAATTATTTCATTATTTTCGTTCATTTTAAAATAACACTTGCACAAACGTTTAGAACACGACCACCTCTGAACATTATTATTTAAAAATTTTTGGAAAGCAAATTTGTGTCCATTAACACAATATAATAATTTATTTTTTTCACTGGTCATTTTAACTACTTTAAGATTTTCCATTGCAAAGTTAAATTAATATTAAATTATAAATATAAATTTAATAAAAATAAATTAAAATGTATAAAACGCTAATGTTTTGTCGAACAAATGAAGTATCGAAGTAAGACTAATGCTAACACGAACAAAATTAATTTCCAACAATAAATTTAAGGAGATACTTACAGATAAGATATCGATAATCGAGATTATCTACGAGTTTATCACCAAACAATATTCTCAGTTGCTGAAAAACCCATGGCCCGATAAAAAATACCCCAAATAAACCGCGGACGCAACTCGGATATGTCGTGAAAAAACCGCGGACGCAACTCGGATATGTCGTGAAAAAACCACGGACGCAACTCGGACAAAATATCATTAAGATTTAAGGGACGCAATTCGTATGCGCTGCCGGCGATGTATAGGTACAATTTATTATTATTTATGAAAAGCCATCCTTAAGGAAGTTTATTCTTACTATAGATTTAATATCCTGAAACAACATTTAAAAAAAAATGGGGCCCTTTGCATGATTTGTCATTTTAACCCCAGGCCTCAAAATATCCCTGAGCCAGTCTGTTTCCGCGTAGTTCATAGATAGATCCTCTGTTATACGCTGGCTTAGAAAGTTCCTTATAAATACATTTAATCCAGATCCAAAGGCAGTCCCAACAATGTGTACAATGAGCAAAGGAAGAAAACTTTCAAGATTATTTAGTTTTTATAGATGGTTCAGCCTTCAGCGTCAGGGGTCATTCAGCTGGTTTTTTGTTCACATTCCATATTGAATAGTAAGTATTCCTATTCGTCAACTGCTAAACGTAGGGTTAAGTCAATACCCTCCAAATAATTAAAGATTTACCCGAAGAGAAATTTTCGAATTATTTCTGATTCAACTTACATTGTTTGCCATTTCCACAAATCCCATCAAATTCAAAATCTCCCAGAATGATTTTTATTGTCTACTCATAATTTTTTTCTTTTTCAGTTACCTATTCTTAAAAAACTTTTAAATTTGTTTTTCGAAAAATCAATAAGAAGTAAAAGTGTTTTCAAAAACTCAAAATGGTTTACAGTTTTAATTTTTATAGATATGAAATTGTATTATTTTTAAGTAAAAAATTAGTATGTAGAAAAAATTGTGTAGATAGTTTTTGTCGTGCTTTTTTTGCTCATTTAAATATTTATTAGTGCTAATTTGAGTGCTTATAATGAAGTACCTAAATTCTAAACGCTTATTTTGATGATTTTTAAGTGGTTTAAGTCTCGAACCCCGCAGACCGCAGTGAGGACTCGAGAAGATTTAGACGATCGTGTGCTACTATACAACTATACAACATAATATATAATATTATCATTATAATTTTATTTATAAAAAGTTCGAATGTATATTATAACATTGACACAGTGCGCAGCATAGTTTAAA